AGACTTTTTTGTACTTTATCTTTTGCCCAGTCATGAAAAACATTACCTAAATTCTCAAAACTTTCCGCCACTTCAAAACACAGAGGGAAAAACTTTGAAATGATGACGTCAATCGTGCGTCTGTCCTCTAATAGATCATAGGCGAGAACCAATCAAAATGCGAGAATTACTTGGATTATTATATAATACACGATAGACTACGTTATCATCATTCTATTCAAGGTTTTATACACATGTTTTGGTCTATGGATAGCTTTTCCTTTATAACTTCCTAAGATTTAGTTAATAAAAAAAAAATTGTTCAAAAGAGTGGAATTTATACCTTTATCTCCACGACAATCGGGCAAGTTTAGTGAATCCTCACACATGGATTTCATTTTTACCCACCAAGTTTTATATTTTTACAGAAGATTTTCTTGGATTTGCTTTTAAGTGAATACATCGCGGCTCATTAATTCTTATCTAAATATTTTAATCATGCTGGAACGCAGATAAAGTTATCGAGCGGTTTTCACATTATTTGTGATGATACTTGGTTTTAAATTAGACATAACAAGTTTTGTTTTACTGTTCTCGACAAAAAGGTGTCCAATGTCCAATTCCCATGGATACCACATTTATCATTGGATCGTCTGGTGCTGCCTGTAATGGTAACAACTGGAATCGNTGGTTCTCGTCTCAGTGTCTCAGAGGTCAACGGGCAGGTTGCTCGCCTGGTCTGTCGGCCAGGTTTCAATCGAATTGATAAAGCGATGGACCTAGCTGATAAGGAAGTGTTGACATCCCCAGCTGGCATGAGAGATGTTCCGAGGGTAATCTCAGAGCATGTGTTAATGATTGTTTTGTTATATGTGTTTTCGTACACCTTTGCGAGTGATTGTTCTAATACACTGGCTCCAGTGGCAAACGAGGAAATTGTGTATTTCAAGAATTTATTTTATCCATTTTATCATTTATTCGTTCCAATCTATGTTTCCTTTTGTGTTCCTGATAGCCTGTTATTGTGATCACGGATGGAAGGCAAACAACTACGCAAGGACCATATACTTCTCTCGAAGTTCTTTCCTCGCGACTACAGCAAAAGAAAGCAAGTGTGTTTGCTTTGGGTATTGGCGATGACATTGACGAATCAGAACTTGAAAAAATCGCAAGCTCACCAGGCAACGTGTTTACAGTTAAATCGTTCGACGATTTGGAAGGCAAAGTTCACCGGATAAAAAGAGGCTTTTGTATAGGTATTGTTCAAAAAGCATTTAAAATAATTTAATATTTGATTACCGTATTTTCTCAATTAAACGCC